TCATTGAAGGTCATGCAAGGTCAAATGTGGTAGTAAAAGAAACTTTCTCACATTACAGGAAATGCTCGAAGTGGTGATCGTTTGCGTCAATGCAAAGTTGCAATCTTCGTATCGCTGCATCACGTGCATGTCTTATCGTTTCTGAACTTATTCTAACACATGCTGTATTATTTCATTGACCCTCAATTTTACATAAACGAATGGTCTTCTAACATTGTTTATGTTGGCAATACATTAACATGAATCGGTAGTCAGTCTCGGTCGATTGTTACGTCAAGTAGTTGCGTGATCATCGAAATGAAGTTTTCTTTCGAAGAGCAAGTGAATATGATCCTCATTTATGGAGAAATGCGACAAAATTCGATAAGCACGACGGGTGTCCAGCACATTATACTCGGAGAGTAAGAGATACACTGAACGAACTTTACCCAAATAAATGGATAGAACGTGGAGAATTAGTTTCTTGGCCACCTCGTTCTCCAGATTTAACCACATTAGATTTTTTTCTCTGCGGAGCATTGAAAAATGCTGTTTTTTGAGAAGTACTCACTACTAGAATAAGTTCAAAAACGATAAGACATGCACATAATGCAGCGATACGAAGATTGCAACTTTGCATTGACGCAAACGGTCACAACTTCGAGCATTTCCTGTAATGTAAGAAAGTTTATTTTACTACCACATTTGACCTTGCAGGACCTTCAATGATAGCTCGTTGAAGTCGTCTCAACACCGGCTATCGCATCGCGATAAAAAAAACATAGCATTCCATTAAAAAAAATAGAGATGACCTTGAAATCTCCTCTATGCCTTCACCCACGCAGAAAATGTTTGTGTCACAATATGCCCTCCTTTATACCGTGTAAATTTTGTATATAACATTTTTTCATATTATTACAAATAACGGCAATATGCAAAGTGAACGTAGTTATTGCCCCACCCTATATATTGCTAAAGAATTATTAGTGATTCGAATCCAAGAATTGCGAGAAAACAAAATAGTATCATTCAGACATAATTGAATATAAGAATGTTGAAGAATAATACGTTTCGAGCAACGACAACTACTTTCGAGAACCTGATGATTGATCTTTTGTTAAATAAATGTACACACTTTTTCCATTTCTGTCTTCATATTTCCAAAATATCGGTTACTTTTGAGTACACCATAATATAAGTTTTCATTCATGGTCAAAAGCACTTACTTTTTACTCAGTATTATAAATAATGTATCACGTATTAGAAAAGTCACTTATTTTTAAATAAATGCCAACTTTCAATAACTTTCACATATAAAAAACACATGAACAAAGTATTGTGTGAAACAGATTTTAGTTACATATCACAGTTGGATTAAATTTAAATTAAAAGTCAACGTTTCGTTTCAAATGTGTTATAATTATAAAATTTTGAAGTAAGGTATGTTCCGTTTGAAATGCATCAACGAAATTCGGAGCTTTCAAAAGTAAAATACCGAGGTAGCAGAATTTTCCGCAAATTAAAACAACAGCAAATATAACGAAGCGTACTTGAATGTGGCTCGTCCATTTTATCAAAAGTTGTTTAGATAGTTAATAAAAATATTTAGCTAGGTATAATAATAATTACTACAGAGAATTTTATTGGTATAGGTAGGAAATAATATATTCAGCATGAACATGAATAATGACGTGTCATGAAATTATACTATAACCGAATTCAGTAATTATCCTTATCGATCAAGTGGAAATATAATCATTATTATTAGCATATTCCTTTATCAAATTTAAAATGAACCAAAAGTAGTAAATAAGTTACTCATCTAATGAAATCAATTTATTCTAAAGAGTTCCACGTATTTTAGATTATATTTCGAAATATTTTGAATAATTGAGAATTAGCAAATATATTATAAACGTTCCGTAGAAAATGATAGGATTAGGATTCTTTATGATTTCACAATTTTTTAAACGTTACTTGTCACAAAAATGTTGTACTTGAGCTTCAAGATGTAGTTCCGAAAGTTTCACTCTGTGATGTTTATGAAACTTGGTAAAATCGTCTCAAATACTCCCAAATAAACATATGTAAAAGGTTTTTTGACGCAATTGAAAATTAACTGAGATAACACTAAAAGAATTGATATATTTTTATATAGTAAACACACGAAGTGGCGTAGCATCTGAAACGACCCACTCACTGCAGCTTAAGCCATAACATACAACGTGTCGTGGTACTAGTCATTTTTTCGAAAACGTCCAAAAATTATTGTATATGTGACTCATCCACACAATGAGATACAAAACACGCTGTATCTGTCGTTATTATAATATTAACATACGTGTCATGACAACGAATAATTACCTCATTATTTTACCGCTATTCTAGTTTAATTTCTGATTGTGTTAAAGAAACGTTTTACATATATTTATTTGGACGTATTTGAGACGATTTGACCAAATTTCATGGAAATCGAAGAGTGGATCATTTCCGAGCAACAGCGGGTATTAATTTTAATATAATAACTAACAAATAAATGTAAAAAGTAGTTATTGAAACGAAAATAAAAAGTAAATGTGGTGAAAACGAAGACGTATGAAAATAAATTAAACAATCTTATTTTATCGACAATTTTCAAAGTATCTGTAGCATATTATTAACCTAATTGATAGTGTAAACTATTAAATGTGATTTCATTGTTACCTAACTGCGAAAACTCAGTAATTCGAAGAACAATAGATCTACATATAGTGTATAAACAGTCTCAGATTGTGGAATTGAAAAATTCAAACAATAAATGCATAGACTACAACCAAACCAACAAATATGCAACTAATTATTTTATTTAATGAATTACTATTGAAGTCGTATTATTTCTACCAATGCAATGGAATGAAAGTAAACATTTTCTTTTAATAAATTATTTGAATAAGGACATATGTTCAGCCTTGCTAGCGGCATATGTACCAATTTGAATGTAGGATACTCTTAACAAGAATGGAATTACGCAATGTTCTCGGCAATAGAATTAAAATCCAGTAGTGTCTCATTGGTTAATCAAGACGCAAGCGTCGCACCGTTACGAATATAAATTAACTTATTTATACTCCTGCCTTTTACAATAACATAGAGTCGCCCCGAAGAAGAAGAAAAAGAAGTAGAGAGGAGGTTCGAATAAATCAAAGGATTTAAAAGATTACGAGTTTCTTAGAAAGGTCGCGGCATCCATTCATTCATGACGTCCCGCCTACGTTTTTTCGAATATCCCGGCTGACCCGGCCCTCGGTGTTTCTCCACGGAATTTATTAATAATTTATTTGCGGCAGTGAAAGCACCCGGGCGGTCATTGAATTGCAAACGTATGGTGACAAAGGTGAAACGAAGAGGAACGAGCGGAAACTATCACGTGGAGATCGAAAGAGGGATCCAAAGAAATAACGGCGGAGCTCGCGGGAAAAAGGGAACAAGGGTGGGAAGGAAGAGTCAACTCAAGGAACCGAGATCAGATAATTATCGAATTACGAAAATTGCTTGGACGAACGTGGAATTAGACAGGAATATCTAAACATAGAGACCGAACGAAGAACAATACCGAACTGACTTTCAAATATTAAATTTCGTTTACTTGATAATTAGCTTTGAGAGGGTGATTCGGGGGCAATCGAAGCGAATAAAGGGATCAGCAGACGATAAAGTAAATGAAAAAGGAGAGTTTAATAGGGAGCCATTACAGTTTCTAGTTCCAATAATTATGAAAAATGTTTCGTTGGAAGCAGCATGGTTCGTTAATTAGCGATAATGAGGAAGCGCAATTCAAAAGATGAAAAAGAGAGAAGGAAGGTGTTGATACTTTTTTCCTTTCTATGGATAATACCCACGTGTTATAGTTACATCATTAAGGAGGTAATACTGTAGTAATACTGACATCTTGTGAATATAATTAGTGCTATAATAATGCTTCAAGTAATTAGTGGTTGACAATAGAAATACTAAAGGATTCAAAATTACTGGTTCATAAACTATTGTAAAAATTATTATAAATTCATATCAGTGTATTTTCTGAGATTCGTCGCAACTTTTATTGGAATGTATAAGTGAAGAAGTTCGTTATTTTATCGATTTGTATATTTACAACCCCTCTTAAGTTGATACGAAAGCTTTTATATTGATAATAGCAAAGATTTTTGAACAGTATCATCTTGGAAATATAATTCATACGATAATAACAATCCAGATAATGACTGTTTGAGTTGACACGTAAGCATTTATACTATTGTGAAGCAAAGACTCTGTACTTTATCATGACATTGTCCTAGTAGTAGAGATTGGAATATTATTAAAATGAAGTAACAAATACATTATACCTATGAGAAAGCTAAAAAAAAACAACGACGAATTATTGTAAAAACAAAACAATAAAACCATGCTTAAGGAAGAAGAATCACTGAAAGTCTCCATCGTAAATGCAAGATTAAGTCGGTGAAAACTACCACGAACAAAAAGCACCAACGAAAGAAACGGCTGAATCAACACCATCACAAAAACGTGAAAACCAAAACAACGCAGATTGAAAAAAAAACGTAACTTTTCACGGTAGTAAATAATAGTTATACTTCAATCCACTTCTCACAGTCATCGGTGATACCAGCAATTTTTCCGCGAATGAAACAGGCTATCGTTCGTGGTTCGTTCAAGCACTCACCTCTAAACCGAATGTCCACACGTGAACAATAAAACGCATCACAGTGGGATCTCTCCGATGCGACACGGAAGCTACGATCAACCCTTCGGGGCGGTTAAATGTTTGCTTGTCAGAAGTGTTCCCACCGACAGAGGAGAAACAATGGCAAAAAAAAGAAGACAGGAGCTACCAAAACAAACTACAGGGACAAAGAGGTCAACGGACCCGTGGAAAATCAGGAGAACGACCTGTGTACGCGGCTAGAAACGATCAAGCAGACACAAGGAACACCCCCCCCCCCCACACACACACACAGAGAAACGTGGACACATCCTGGTACCTGGGGATGGTATACGGTGCCTGTCTTGCCGTAGGGATTCCCATCTGTTCGGATGCCTGGGGTTGGTCCAGTGTTCCCTATCTGCAGGTTCCTCGGGTTTATCGCGATCTCGGGCCCCGGATGGGTCTTTCTATTCCCTTGGGGGCCGGCGGATGGTCCCATGTTAGGGGCCTTCACCATCGTCGGCCGCACCCCGCGAGATCTCGACACCCTTGCTCTCACTCGGATACCACACGAGAAAAACACGCACGCACGCGAGAACAGCCAGGCCAGGGAACACCAGCAGCAGCAGCAGCAGCAGCAGCAGCAGCAGCAGCAGTGGCACACTGGCCAGCCGGTTCTATCGATCTGTCCTTTTCCCTTGTTTCCCCTCAAGAAGTATCAGAACGAAAGAAACAAGCCCCTGGTCCTGACGGCCGGACCTAGGAGGACCCGAAAAGGCGGCACACACCATCGACGCTCCGTTCCCTCCCTCGCACGTACATCGTCTATCGGTCTGTCGACCTACCTCCCCCCGACCAACCCCGGCAGACACCAGCGCCATCGGACAAACCTCGAACCACCACGAGATGCTTCCCTCCCGACGAGAGAGGTCTCGTCGACCAAAAATGAAGCCCCGAACCCGCGCGATCCCAAAGGAGGATGGGTTGGGGGATGGAGTGAGTAAGGGGTGGAAGGCGGTTAGGGACAATTTCATTCCGCTAATGAATGATGCGTGAATGTTTTCATTAATCCCGGCCGTGCAACGGGAGCCGGTGAGGGGCTGCGTAATGCTTCGTTTACGCGAGTCATTTTCGTTACGCGCGGACACGGAATTGAATAATCGTTCGACGATCTCCCCCGTGTCGACGCGTATTTTCGGTTCACGGAAAAGTGCATCACGGTGAAATGTTTGATTGATCGAATGTCGATTATCGGGAATGCTGATCATCGTTAATAGCGATTCATTGAAATGCAGATCGAGTCGCGAATGGTTTATGAAAGAGGCGGTTGAAAAGGTTGGGCAATTATGGTAGCTGAAGCGCTGGATAGCACGTGGACCGCGATTGGTGGTAACGCTGGATAAGAGGTCATTTTGTGTGCACAAATAAATGGGGAGGATGTCAGATTTCTAGGTAGAAAGCTTCATCTTCGGGATAGTTGAGTTTAAGAATTTTGTTTGGTGTACGGTTATTGCAGTAGCAATTAAAGAGTCCATGAGAGGAACGATCATTGTCACAGAACCTGAAATTTTCAGTAATCCAAAAATAAACTTTATGAACTCCCCCCCATTATGTATAATCTAAAATATAATATTCCCCTTTTTATGGTGTCTGAACCCGTTCATAAATTTTATGAAAGTAATATTTGGTATTGTATTCGGAAATTTAAGCTAACGTTATTTTAACAAAGAAGAGTGTGGGCTCTGAATAAATTTCCCTAGGAAGAAAATTCTTTATTCTGATGGAAGTAAATATCTTACTGGCAGTAATTATAGGGTTATTAACACAAAATAAAATTGTACAGTTAGTAACACAAACTGAAAGAAAATAAAACATTTTTTGTTATGAACAATTACAGTGCGATGTAACGGAAGAAATAGAATATATTACAAATATTGACTTGCAAACCAGGAAATTTCAATAGCAATACTTATATATTTTAATGCTAGAAGAATGAATAATGTATTGTTTGGGCAGTTACATTTTAGAGTGGTATAAGATTAATTTAAAAAAAAATGAGTTGAAGCTAGTTTCAACTGCAGACGCATGCCTCCTTTTTCATTTACATTAAGAAGACCAATACAGTAGGTACACAATTTTCACGAATTAGTCAAAAGAAGTACAGAAAATGGAATCGAACAACTGATTTTCGTGAAACTGGTAGAGGTCTATTTGAAACAACGACTTGCTTTATTTAACATGTTTGCTACCAAAATGAATAAAACATGAATAACAGTTATTAACATTATCTATCTTTACGATTCTACTTTCATTGTTTCTTCAGATTGTTCTTTTACTCAACTTACTACAATAAAATTCTCAAAAATGTAATTCGAATGAATATAATTTTACATTCAGTAAAATAACTTTATTACTTTCGTCATAATTATTGTTATTTATATTTTAGAATTACTTTTCAGAAAAGTCGACTTCAATCGAAATACAAATTTAAAAATGGCACTAGTTACGTTTTTGCAAATTTATTAATCTATGAAGTGGTATAAATCCAATTTACGGTTAATAAAAACACTTTTTAGTCGGAGAATATTTATAAGACTGTTCACATAATACAATTCAACACGTCTGGAATCCTAAAAACAAAAAACAGGCTTATTAGCGTTTAACAATATTTTTAAACAGGGTAAAGCGCAAAAAACAAAAATGCAATACATTAAATACCTTGAAATAAAGGAAAGTGAACTTATACCACTTTAAACCTTTTACACTGTTCGGGGCAATTTTCCCGAAAACCAATATTTGGTTGTCAATTAGATTCTTTATTGTAAAAATTATGTAAATTAATTTAACATCAATAGCTTACACATATTACAATTTATCGACAGGTATTATATGTATATTTTCCTAATTCGATTTTAATTCAGGCCCAATTTAATTCAAGGTACAGCAATACAATATTCTATCGAACAGTGCACGAGGATTTATATAAAGACATATATTTCCAACAATCATTTCCAAACAGTGTACATACAGCTCGAATACATAGAACCAAACTCACGTAGGTGATTCCCCGAAGAAAGGTTTCGAAGTATCTACATCATCTCAGGGCTCGTAGAAATGCGACTCAGCGTTCCGAGGTTTCTACGTCGAAGGTCGTAAGGGTGGAAAAGGGGATGGAACAGTTCGAAGGCTGATCGTTGCGAGTAGGGTGAACCATGGGGTGAGCCGCGGATTAGGTAAGGGATGAACGGTGGTGGCGGATGCGTAGAAGAAATTGAGACAAGCGTCCGTGGTGGTTGTTACCCGTCGGGGAATCATTGGACAGGATGGAAGATGATGGGGGTTGCGCGACTCACTGTTTGCGCTCGCATCGTGCCAGACTGCCTTGGATCGTTTGCGCTGCCAATATTTTAGTAGCATTTAGGTACCAGACGCTGGCCAAGGGACTGCTGTCTGTGATCCGAAACGTATTTGCGGTTCATCAACGATGAGGAAGAAGAGGATGGTTGGGGGCGGGAGAGGTGGACATGAAATACGAGTACAGCTGAAGGTTCGCCGGCGCTTCGCGCAATTACCAGCGGCAAACTCGATCGAAATATGATTTTCGGAAGTTCCGGATTCCTACGCCAACTGTTTCCCCGGCGCAATGATCGGGAACGATGGGATAATTGTTGAACATCGATGGGGATTAATAATGCTACCTGAAAGGAAACTGATGCTGAAGGGAAGTTCGGCATTGTTGGAAGGATCCTTTCAATTAGTCCTTTCAACGATTGATGTAATCAAGGGGTGTGGTAAAAAAAGAATTTTTATGTTTTACTGTAACCTACATTGCTTGTATTCGTTGCAGTAAATATGATATTATGGGTTCGCTGCAAAGGGGATGCGAATGTATTTATTAATATTACGGTGATACGTTAGATATATCTTTATGCTATAACGCAGACATCATTTTATCTACTATTGCTGATTCTCTTCCACTAGAAATTGAATAGAAGTGAATGGCATTCGAAGGCATTCGGTTATGTAGATGGTATTCAAAGGTATTGGAGTGAGTGGATGGTATTTAAAGAGATTCGATTAAGTAGATGATATTTAAACACGTTCGATTAAGTGGATGGTATTTCAAGGTATTCTATTAAATCGATGGTATTCGAATGTATTCTAGTAAGTGGATTCGATTTAAAGGTAGTCGATTAAGTGGATGGTACTTACATGTATTTGATTAACTGAATGGTACTTAATGGTATCTAAATAACTGGATTAGGTTTAAAGGTACACATTCGATTAACTGTATTAGATTTAAAAGTATTCAAGTAACTGGATTATATTTAAAAGTATTCAATTAAGTGGATAGTATTTGAATGTATTCGGTTCAGTCGACTGTATGCGAAGATATTCGATTAAATTACTGTCTGGAGTGTATTGGTTTAAATTCATTTTTACAACAATATGTTTCTATAAATTATGCATTCACGAATTACTTTTAGGAATAAATGGAATATGTACTTCCACAATTGAAGTGTGTACGATAAGATTCATTCTTTTGGAATGTAACATTGAAATACAATGGTGAAAGTTTTCAATTTATAAAGAGTTACTTACATTACAAAATATAAAACATTTTTGTACATGTGACAAAAATTATAAAGTGAATTCAAGGTCTGAAAATAACAAGTTTTATAAATTTATGCTTTGTCAAGTCATATTCTTTCTTAACTGAAGCTTGTTCAATTTGTAAAAGCCTCTTGAATGTACAAGAACTGCCTGTAGTCAGCAAAACTAGAAGGTCTACCGAATGAAACAATTAAAGGTTATAATTTCTGGATAATTAAACCTTGTGAATACACGATAATTGAAAATTAATTATCTACATAATATAGAAGCATATCGGATATAACTCTGTAATTTGAACAGCATGCTGAAAAAGTTATGAATAAAATATTGAGCGACCAAATTATCTGATCGATCAATCCTATCATTGTTCTAGTAACTAATCTATTTAATGATACACGTTTATTAAAGTATTTAAAAATAATTCTTTCTGAGCCGAGAATATTAAGTTAATGGGACCAAATTATTAGTAATATTGCTCCAAGCAGTGAATTATTGAAAAAAATTTCGACTGGATGGTATGAATTACTCAGAGAATCGTCAATTGTGTAACTATTATCTTTCAGGTCACTTTAAGGTCAACTTCATACATATTATATAGGGGGTGGAGATGGTACTCATGGTACAACCGAGAAGGGGATGATACCTCATGAAAAAATCAGTTGAAAGCACGGAATAATTTCATTTGGTTCGATTTCTATATGAAACTAAATTTGAAATTTTATCGAATATAGATGCATTCGTGCTCAGAATAAGTAGAAACGGCAAACTATAGCCAGACACATGAATCATTACACATATACATTGACACGTGTATTTGAAAAATTTCCAAAACCATTTTTCTTGAAACCGTACTTTCACAAACTTTGTTCTAGGTTTTTGTCGCATTCTTTTTGTGAAAAATTATCCCGCTTCAGTTTGAATAACGACTTTGTCGCCCCCACTGCATCGATCGATATATTAT